CTACCAGAATACTTTTAGTATTGGCTGTTCCTTAGATGAAAAATTGTATCTGACTATTGACTGTGCAGGAATGAACAACAATTCATATCCAATCAAAACATGGGTTTCTTCTATAAATCGAACCGTTTCTGGAAGCAGATGCAATTTTGCCTTTTAGGTTCTACATTTTTTGTTGTATTTGATCTGTTTGGCAACTCATAAGACAGACAACAGCAAAAACATCTGTGCCTGCCGGTAGACAGCTTTTCATGGTCTAAAGTACCCAAGTAAATGGCACCTTTTTCTTCAGTGGATCACAAGCTCTAACAGGATGAACAGTATATGACTTGAAAAGGGGAGAATGGCTTTAGTAAATTTTTTTTTAAAATATTCAAGTAAGAATATTGTGAATATTGTGTGAGTTCATGACACATTACTCCAACAGACATTGAGGCATTAGCTTTTTCCAGACAGGTAAAGAGATGGTGAAGGCTAGGGAAACAGTATAGTGAAATGCAGTATTATTATAACTAAACAACATAAAATAGTGCATGATTTACTGTCAGACAGTAGCAAGATTTTGTTACAAACAAAAGTAAAACTACTCATCACTTCTGAAGTTCATGAAGAGTGCTGTTTGAAGCTGGACAAAATGTTGGAGAAAGTGCCTGATTCCTCTAACAAAAAGTATGTGGTCTCAGGATGATTTAAGTGTACTCTCACAGCTGTACCTCTGCATGATAAGTAATTCAATACTAAAGTGTAAGTTTAAAAACAAACAAAGACACAAAAAACATTTATTGATAAATAAACTGTTTGATCCTTGCTGCCTTTGTTTCAGTTTGCTTATGGGTAACACCTATTTTACAGTGACACTGGAAAGCATTACTTGATGGGGATAGCACCCCCATCAAGTTTTTTCAGCAGAAAAGGACTTTAGGGTGCTAGTTATCAGCCAGCTGAACAAAGCCCAGCTGTGTCCCAGGTGGCCAATGGCATCCTGGCCTGTATCAGGAATAGTGTAGCCAACAGAACCAGGGACGTCACTCTCCCTCTATACTTGGCACTGGTGAAGCCACATCTCAAGTCCTGTGTCCAGTTCTGGGCCCCTCAATCCATGAAGAACATTGAGGTGCTGGAGCACGGAGCATGGAGGCTGCCAGAGGGTCTGGAGCACAAGTCCTGCAAGGAGCAGCTGAGGGAGCTGGAGTTGTTTAGCCTGGAAGAGGCTCAGGGGTGACCTCATCACTCTCTACAACCACCTGGAAGGAGGCTATAGCCAGAGGGGATCAGTCTTTTCTCCCAGGCAACTAGGAGCATGTAGTCTTAAGCTGTGCCAGGGGAAGTACAGTTGGACATTAGGAGGAATTTCCTCAGGGAAAGAGTGACTAAATAGTGGAATAGGCTGCCTAGGGAGGTGGTGGAGTCACCGCCCCTGGAGGTGTTTAAGGAAAAACTGGATGTGGCACGAAGTGCCACAGTCTAGTTGAGATGTCGGTGTTTGATCATAGTTTGGACTGGATGATCCCAAAGATCTTTTCCAACATGTAAGTTCACTACATAAATTCTGCTGACACAGGCTCACGCGAGCGACTCTCCCCGGGGGACCGTGACACGGATCCGCAGACGCCATGGACGCCTGTTATTCAAGAGCTTTCACGCCTCCACACAACCTAAGTTGCCCTCGCGGCCTTCGTTGCGCGCAGGGCTGTCCCAGCGGGGCGGGAGCTGAGGGAGGCGAGGCAGCCCCGACGCCCAACACCGCCATCCCCGCTCCCGCGGCTCTGCTGTGCCACAGCCCCGCTGCGCCTGCGCGTGTGGGCGGGCGCGGCCATGGCGCTGCCGGCAGTGCCCGCGCTGCGGCCCCGGCTGGCGGCGCTGGGCCGGCGGCTCGGGGCGCCCCGGGGCGCGGCCGGGGACGGTGAGCGGCACAGCGAGGGGGGACGGGCCGAGGACCAGGCGGAGGGCGGCCCTCAGGGCGGGGTGTAGGGCATCCCCGCGAACGGAGCGTGGGGGTCGGCTTGGGAACAGCGGAGCGTGCCGCGGATGCCGTCAGTTTAATTGTGAAAGGTGCGGGCTAACAGAACAGCTGGCTTGCTTAAGCGCTGTGTTACCCAGCTGCTGTTGTAAATACCGCGAGGGTGGATGAAGCCATGTGAAAAAGGAGAGGAAGCGAGGCTCCTGCTGAGTGCCTTTCAGTGCTAAGGAAGCATTGTGTTCTTCCTTCAGATACCTTCCTAGCAAAAGGCTCAGCTGCTCTGGAGAAGCTGAAGGACCTCTGTAACGAAGGGAAAGAGCCTCCTTCTGCTCTTTTTCAACTCTATGCCCAGGTATTGTATTTAAACCATCAAGCTGACTTTCAAGAAAATCTGTGTATGTTGTGAGAGAAGCTTTGGTGTAAAAGGGAGGATAGAGCAGAAAAGGATATCTTGTTACTTGGTGTGTACGGTGAACATCTGTGAAGCACATGGCTGCAGTTCACTTGGATAACTTGGGAGTCGAGAGTAATTGTACTGATACTTTAGGGACAGAAAGGGGTTTGACTTTACGTTCACTGCCAGCAATCTTTCAATACTTATAACTTGCACCTTTAGTAAACAAAATGTTTAAAAATACCTTCAAATTGTATTATTTTATAAACTTAACAAGTTTTTTATGTTACAACACACCACTACTTCATTATTTTCCCAGTAGCGTTTTTCCTTTGTATGTCTTCTTGTTTTCATAGGCTGTCCTAGACATAACATATTTTGAGGAAAACCAGCTTGTGGATGAAGATTTTCCAGAAGAAACTTCCTTGCAAAAACTTAAAGAACTTATTTGTCTTCTTTCAGAACCAGAAGATCTAGTGAGGGAATGCAACGTAGATGAAGAAGTGAGTACTGATGTTCTTGAGCCAGAGGATTAATTATTTCGTTATTTTAAAATAAAAAATCTGAAACAGGATGGTAGTATTTGTATTTTTGATGGGCAGAACTTGAGGTATTTTGAAAGATTTTCAACTCTTACTTGTATTTAAATACTGATTCCTCAAAATATTGTTTCAAATAACTTGTTGCATGCTCAGAATTTCTCTCACTAACATTTTACAGTTGTACGACATGTTAATGATAGTTTGATTTGGCCATTTTCAGTATTCGGTTAGTCTTGTGTTTCTGAGTGTTGCTGTCAAGTACAGCCTCTGAAGTAAGAGACTCTTTCCATGTGTTACTGTGTTTATGACTAGTTCAGGTGGGTTATTTTTGTGTTAGCCCAGTTTGTTGGATTTTATTTCAGCCCATTAACATCCTTGGTGCAGAATTGTTAGAATGTCTTTACTGGCGGAAAGGAGCCCTGCTTTACATGTACTGTCATACAGCAAAAGAAAGGAGAGAATGGCTACAAGGAAACATTGCCACATTTAAAAAGGTAAAGTAAATGAAAACGTTCTATGAGCTTGTGAATACAGCTTTAAAGTTTGACTCTTCACTTTTAAAATATGGCTGCTTTTTTATTTTTTTTTCTTTTTATCTTTTTTTTTCTTTTTTAGTAGGGTTTTGGGGGATTCATGGAAGTATTTCTGGCTACCATTAATTTAACCAGAACTTATTTTTTCCTCATTTTTAACTGTACTCAGTGTCTTAATGATGGAGTTCATTACTTGATGAAGATGCTTAGCTTTAGATGCCCTCTTCAGCTAAATGAAGATGTCTTACTTCAAGATAAAGACACAGCTAGATTACTCAGTGAAGGTAAACAAACCCAAAAAACCCCTGAAAAAACCCCACAACCCCCTCCTCTTAATAACTGCTTCACTTTATGAAGTGGTTTTCTGTGTGTTTTCATTCTTTGAATTTGTATTCCAAACCTGTCATTTTTTAGAACAAGAAGGTAATAATGAGGCAAATAAGCAGGCAGCAGTGCTCACCCCCTTCTTTTTTGACTCCTGGATTTCAGAAAGTGGTGGTGGTTATTTTCCCTGTGTTTTTGAGCACACTGGACGAAGGTGAACTGAGACTGCGGGTGTTTTATGCTGAGCATGTGTGTTTTGCAGCCATCCAGTTGACAATTGACATGTTTAAGGCACAGATATGGCTGCAGAGGGTGCTAGATGTTTGCCTACTGGTGTGCCTGTTTAGCTCTAGGATAACACAGGTACAAAGAATTAAAGACTTCACACAGGTAAAAGCTACATGCAGAACTGTTCAGATTTGGCAAATTCTCTCTGTCACTATATAGCTTTATGTAAGTTGCATTACTATAGAGCAATCTATAGAACTATCTTCTTTCAGTCTTGAATTATGGGAGGCACAGAAATATTCTACCATAAATATGCACAATCATGCCTTTGAGTAATACTGAAATTCTCAACGATAATAGGCAAACATAATTATCAGAATTATGGTTAGATGGCAATCTTAAAGATTTTAGCATTATGGAGGGCCAAAATGGACAGAGTAATAAGCACAGTCTTGATCTGTGTTCTCTTCTGGGCATTGTCAGTCATCTCAAGGTAAGATTTGTTTTTTTGGTTTACCTGTTTAACAGGCTGAGACTGTCATTTTAGAATTTTTTTTCCAGGAAACTAAAGAAAAAAAGTTAACAAGCTGTGTACTTTCTTAGAACAATAAAGTACTCCATATAAATTATTTTTGCAGGCATATTTAGTGACACACACTTACTGGCAATGATGTACAGTGGAGAAATGTGCTACTGGGGACTGAAACACGGGGGAGAAGGGAAGCAGGAAAGCCCTGAGTCAATAGATCCTGTGTGTGACAGCAGCCTGGGCAGCGGAACACAGAGCGTGTGGCTGGACTTCCAAGAAACAGGGAAAAACATGTTAACGAAGTATGTGACCGTATGTGAGGGACCTTTAAAAAGCCAAGGGTGGAACACAACGACGGCAAAACAAATGTTGCGAGACTTTGTGAAATCCCACAGCTAAGATCCACCGCCGGAAGAAACCCCATGTCCTCGGAGCAGAACTAAGGAGTTTTGCCTCTGCCTCCGTATCTGGTTTAATTTTTTTTTTAATTATTATTATTTTTTAAATCGAAATGTATACTTCTGCTGCATTAAAAAAAAAAAACCAAACAACCACGCGCACAATCTCAAAGAACTGGAATACCAAGGTCCAAAGTGT